CCCATGATATCCAACTCCATAATTTCTTGGCTGTTCAACCACCTAAAATCGGATGTTGGTAGCGGCTGTGACATACTATGACCGTACAAGTTAGTTGCATCTAAATACATGATGTATGTTGATGGTTCATTTGGATTGAAGTTTGGGATGAACTTATTATTCGCAACATGGCTCCTCAGACTACATTGACTTATCCCACCTCTTATTCCTTTTTTGAAAAAATGTATCATATCGATGTCGGTTAACAATTCTAATTCGATTTTTGTGTATCTCAACATAGCATCCCATGATAAACCGGGTGCTGTAAAGTATTGGCATGGATCTAACTTGTACGTTTTTAAACAAACGTTCCGGAAGTTCTCGAAAACATCGCATAACAATAAAACATCTGATTTCAAATAGAGATCAGAGTAATCACCGAGTGTTTTACATTGAAACAAATTCCAAACATGCTCAGCTCTTAGATAATCCTCGTCTGAAATATGTTTATTAGATAAATTATCGAAAAAATCATTTTTAGATGGCAAATCTTTGTTATTCAATTTATCCATAGAGGTTATGAAACTATATGGAAAAACTCCCTTCTGCGTCATATATTTGAATTCTTCAGGGTCACGAAAATATCTAGCAGTTTCTACAAATTGAGATTCATTCAAATTTCCGGCCAAGGCTTGCAGAGGTTGGGCAAGGAATTTGTAGCTATCCAAGAATCGCAGTTTCAAAAAGACATTCTGATTCACACCGTTTTTTCCCAAATATTCGTCAACTAAGATATGTTTGGTAAATGAGATATATTTTTCCTTGGTTTGCGCGATACAATCAACTTTCTCTTCTCGATCGAATAGTTGTTTGATGAAAAGGTGGCTATCGTAGCCACTCATATTATGAAAAAATATGGGGATGAAATTTGGAATTTTAAAGTTCAAATTACATATTGAATGTGCGGCACCGAATCTTTTTTTCCCCGTTAGATGGCAGTGGTCTCTTACTTTGACGTCACCATATATGAAAGCTTTATCGCAAATGCCACACTCCGTGGCATCAGCGAATTCAACTTCTTCTGCCGGAGTTAATTTTTTCATAGGAACTACACGTTTTAGAAACAAGTTGTAAATTATTTTGCAGTCATTGACTAAATTGGATACGAATTTTTTCGCAGCATCTTTCCCACGGAATGTAACAAATTTCGTGATAGAATTATCGAAAGAGCATTTGATAAGGTATGCAAATGAATAAGGCTCATGTGCGAATGTTCTATTAGTGAAGGATTTCTCCGGATCTGGCTGGCTAGTATGTATCGGCTTCAGAACTGATTCGAAATCTGCATAAATAACGAATGGTACTTTCATCTGTTTCTCAAATTTCTCGAATTTCAAAATGTTTTCAGGTACTGAATTTCCAAATTTATCGACTTTGACCTCTGTGGATGGAGTTGTAGTATATGTATGGTTACAATCATTTAGCTGATGGCGTAACAACTTTGTTTCATCTGAGAAATGTATCAAACAGCCGTCGCAAAAAAATTTCTTATGCCCCCTGGCAGATATCTGGCTAGATACCAGCCTAGATAAATTCTTTATCCAGCAATAGTGGCTATTTCCGGATTCATCATCTGTGGTCAGAAGTAAATTCACATGTTTACTCATTCTTTTCTTAGAGTAATACAGTGGGCCGACTATCTGATATTGCACTTGATGTTTTTCAAACACACTTTCTAACCCGTAAACGTTGATGGAACAATCATTGAGAATTTCGAATTTTGGGATGCTACTCACTTTAACAGGGAACTCTATACCCACCAAATTCAGAACCGTAGAATAGTGCGGATATGAAGAGGTTTCGCAAACATTAGCCCTTGCCGGATACAGTGCAGACGTCACAGCCCAAGCAAAACAGCACTCATCCTGGTTCACTATGTTCACTACTGCCTTTTTATTCTCTATGAAGCTAGGTAGCTTCATGTAGGAACACCCACGCAGCGGACTGTATTTGTTGATGTTGATTTCCAGAAACATGATTTTTTCTAAAGCCCAACCTATAACAATAATACCATCAGATGATAATCAAAAGTGTTGAAAAATATATCAACTCACCAGAATCGCGTTCCTCAAATTCAGTCGTTTGATTCAATAAGATGTCCTTGAATGTGTCAACTACGGCCTCCAAATCCAGCGATGAATCCATGATGTGATTTGGTGTCATGAAGGATTTGATATCGTGAAGATCTTGGGATTGTAAAATATATCTTCCGAATACTTCCATATTCACTTTGATGGAGTGGTGAATCGAGATTATATTATCCAATAGGGATATTATGGTCGCTTTATTTTCATTAAAAAACGTATTGTAATCCAATACATCAGTTCTGCATTCCAATCTATAACTTACAATACGGCATTTGAACGCATTCTCAATCACATATACTCCATCCCTATAATTGACGCAAGCGTTTGTTCGATGCTCCAATGTCCTTTTATGAGCGCTCATTTTATCAGCTGGAATCATCTTATTGCAAATGGTACATGCCTGCAGATTTCCAGAAGTTGTTGCTTGCTGAGTGCCATTTCCCAGTCGAGGCTTCTTTGCGATAGGAGGGTTCAAATTTCCCACACATGCAACTCTTTCATGGCGTCGTAGATTGTCACTACGCGTGAAAGACTTAGCGCACACACTGCAGAATAACATATTGTTCAGATAATGTATCACTCACAAAAACTAATGAGGTTAATGTTGATGGTAGTATTGAGAGAGAACTATGCGCTCACGGACGCAGCTATTGGGTTTATATAAGGCAGAGTCATGACGTAACACACATCGCCCCACTTCTACCAATACGACCTCGACCGTCGAGATCTCTCTCTCTCTCTACAACTCAAGGACACGGACACTCACACTCAAGGTCAAGCAACGTCGCATACGGTGCAACCTTCCATCACGGTCAAGGCCTTTCTCTCTCACTCACAAGGTCGCACATGCGGAGGTAACTCTACCCAAGAGCACTCCCGCCCAAGGTCACTCCTACTCAAGGTCACTACCGTCCAAGGCAACTCCTACTCAAGGTCACTCCTGTTCAAGGCCACTTCTGCATCGAGGTCACTCTGACACGAGGTCACTCCCGCCCAAGGTCACTCCTACTCAAGGTCACTACCGTACAAGGCCACTTCTGCATCGAGGTCACTCCGGTCCAAGGTCACTCCTGCTCCAAGGTCACTCCGCCCAAGGTCACTCCCGCCCAAGGTCACTCCGCCCAAGGTCAGAGGAGAGTGACCTCGGGCGGAGAGTCAGAAACGGCTAATCTTATCTACTTACGCCACTTTGTCCTTTTGAGCTGGTAAAACGGGAACATGGAATTGGAATAGACTAACATCTTGTCAGTTGGTACGAAATGGGGATGACAGTTTCATAAGGTCTTGGAATTGTCTCAATGAATACAACTATTACCCACAATACTATCGAAAATGAGCAAGTGGACTATTTTTTCTTATTTTTTCATTAGAATCATCGCTCAAATACCTTCAAATTCTTTATTTTTTCAAGATCTTTTCGGTCGATTTTACGGTGCTTAAATCATCAATAATGCTAATGTAAATCTTGAACTGGTAGGAATTTACCGCGAGTAAAAACTGACATTACGATTTTGTGAGTGAAGGCAGACCATAGCACAGTTGCCATATGTTGAAATACGATTGGGAAATTCAGAAATATCAGTTATTCAATGATTCATGAATTCTCAATCATTCATTGGTTATAAATCTTATAAGTAATAAGAACTCAACTGTCTCAAAATGTTTCCTCATGTGTTATGGCTTATTGCTTATAATATATTTGTGTAAATAATAATTTCATTAATTTACACTAGAGGACATTCGAACTGGTGAACGTGATAGCACGGCGCACGATTTGTTGGCGTGGTCTTGTCAATTTTCAGCATTCAGCATAATGTAGCCAAGTCTCCAACATTCACATAATCTTCTGTTATGGAGTAAAAGAAATATTTGGACATGCTGGCTGCTCGATGAAGTCAAAAATGAACTTTGATATCATGGCTTCCTTTTATTGAGTTTTATTCAACGACATCAGGACTCCAACTTTTTTTTTGATAACTTGAATTTAATTGATGACTTGACAACCTTGCTTCAAGAGTGGGAGTGGAAGCCTATTAGACCAATAACGAAACAGCATAAAAACTGAAGTCACCATTTATTCGACATATCGCTAAATGGCAGCCATGACGGTACGTTTGAAATGAGCTCAACCCATTAGTGCATAAGGTTTACAAAAAATATTAAAAGCAAAATTTTTGGTTATCTATGATTGGGATAGGATCTCAAGACATATTCGCAATACAAAAAACTGAAATTTTTATTGTGAATGAAAAAAATGACCGTCCCTTTTAGGGGACGTTATGCATACAAGTCATCTAGGTGAATGATATGCCCTAAAACAGTTTTTGGGGGTAGAGGCCCACATTGCATTTGGTACAGACGAAATTGGATTTCTTTCCGCATGTTGCGCATCTTCTGTCCGTTGGGCAGTAATCAACGATGTGATTCCGTTCATCAAATCTCACCTGCTGTAGAGATTTCGTGGGCATTTTACCTTTCATTGATTTGACACCATATGTTTGCAATAAAATCAGACACAAATTCCTTCTGAAATTCAACAAACTTCTGCAAACAGAATCATTTGGATGCAGTTTTCTCATCAACAACCAGGCGTTTACAACGCCTACGTCAAACAGATAGGCAAAGATAGGCCACCACCACTTGCGCTGTCACATTCGAGTTCTATAATTTGCAACCATTCCATCCAATTTATCAACGTCTCCCATCCCTTTATTATACCTGTTTATAATTTCTGGTTGAGATACAGTTATTCTTGACTTTTCATCTTTTGAATATCGTAGACAATTTTTTATTCCAGCGTTGCTGGACCCAAATGGTTACTATTGCCCTCATGGTCATCATCTGATAAGTCACTATCTTGATCTGTTTCCTCACCATCTTGGGGTGGAGTGATATAGATATCGGCAGAATCGACGAGATCGTCCTCCAAAGCTGCTAGTAACTCATGTAGAGGCAAGCTGAAATAAAAGAAAATATTTAGGAAGAATAGCCATTATGCATAATGTCCCTTCAAAGGGACACAATATTGAGGATGAGATTATTTCAAAAGTGATGACAATTTTCCTCAATTTCAGATTGAATATAATTCTTTGAAGATTTGTGAATCCAATAATATGATATTCACAGCTCTTTACACTCTCAATTGTATTTTTATTCCGGAAATACTCACCCTCCACGCCTTTCGTTGTACAGAATTGGATCCATATTTCTGTTCATTTATCAACACTCGATAAAATTCACTTGATTCCCGAAACTAGACTATACAATGGAGCACCAATACATCAACTGTGATCACTAAGGAATTTGAGGTTAGCTACGCAATCACATCTGCCCGCTAAATTTAAAAATATTGAAGTCCCTTTTAGGGGACGGTATGCACTAATGGGTTTTAAATTCAACGAATTCGAACAACACATATATTGATCAATTATATAAAAAAAGCGTGAGAAGTATCGCAGAAATCAATTTAGGTCCCTAAACGACACAGTAGCGTAACTGAATGCCAAAATTTCAATATCAGTCCACCCGCCAATGCTGTCAGGGGTAACAATCCCCGTCCTGAAGACTCGTGGTGTTACGGAGCTATTGGATCTCTTTGATTCCTGACATAATTACTATCGATAGTATTGCGAACATTCATGATTTCATTCCTGACAATCTCAGTTGATTCCAAATCGTATACTAATTGAAGAAATTGCTAATATTGAACTGTATTCCCATCGAAAGTTACAGCACATATGTAGTTACCTACTACAATAATTCAGTCTGAAAAGTTGTGTGTTCCCCATCAATTTATATTCAAAGTATGTTGACTAGGTATTGCTGGTTCCAGATCTTGTCAACCCACATGCAGTGAATGCTGTATTCACATTATTTTATTGGGTTGAAAGTGACCAGTACACTTACCAATTCCATCCTCTATACGATACTATAGCGAACATGAATAGGTTGTACTCTCCTTCATCTCTCCATAACAAAGGAGAAATTACCGCGTAGAATACTGAATGATGCTTGACAAAAACAAACAAAAATATTCGGTTCCCCTCCTTTTGAAGTGAGCGAATGACAGGGTTGACGATCCGCTGATGTTTGATATACTCAGACACTCGACTAGCTGTCGACAGCTGCTGCCAATATGGTAGGAGCGAAACCACATGACAATAAGTGCATTTCTTGTCAAGTAGGGATAAATCCGATGGAGTATTGCACTGAAGCGAATTGAAAAACAATATGGATGAATCATCATACCAAAAACATACTAGAATAAGTCGATCGGTCGATACGAAATTTCATTATTGTTATAAGAACACACTTTCCCGCATTCCATAGAACTTTTATATACAATATGAGTTGGGTACAGTACATGATAATCGTATAATGTTCATATATAGGTTTTCAAATACGCCCTACATAAAAATTCATTCATTATTCATATAGATTTGATCCGTGAAATTTAAGCATAGCCTTTGTGGATTGCTCAACAGAGGAACCGTAAACCAGTACATTTTTGCACATAATTCAACAATGAAAATGTTCTTGGTTCTTCTGAATGTACTGATGCGGATTTGTTTATTTTCAAGCGAAATCTTTCAGGTCTACAATGACAATATCACTATGTCTCTCCCTGTCTCTCTTTCTGCTGTCAATTCGATGAATCATTTTTTATATTTCTTTTTACTAAATCTTCATAATCCTTGAGAAAATGCATCGATATAGTTTTGCGTGGTTTTGCAATTCTTTTCTTATCTCTTTGAGGTTTATATGTTGTTTTGACAACCTAACTCTGTGAGGATTTGGCAAAGGTTCAATAGCAAGTGCTAAGAACATATATCTATGTACCCAACGAACAGTAAGTAATTTTTCATATACCTATTCGGCAGTTCTTCATGGTGATGCAAATGGAGAAGTGGAGAAGCTATATAGGTAATTTCCAAAATCATTCAATGATACACAATTCAGATGATTTTGGGTGAACAGGTCAAAAATCTGTCTACAACTATTTATATCATTTTCCGCTTCATACTTCATCATTTGATAAAACTTGTGGTGGAGAAGAATTGAATCGAATGATATATTTTTTGCTGTGACGGAAAATAAGTTTAAAATTTTTTCATCTCTGTTGACAAGTGATAAAATGTTACTTTCCATAAATTCCTGTTTTTCTACGAGGAAACAGAGAGAACTTTTTTCATATTTCCTGAAGGCAACAAAACTTCAATTATGAATTTCAATTCCACTCAATCCTCGAGTGAATTTCGGTGTGACAGTTCAATGAATACTCTATCTATGGTAGATCACACTATTGTTGATCGTTTTTCCAATTTCTTCACTCCATGACTCTCCAAACCGTGACTTTTCCATAGACTAGGTACTTTTCTGACAATGCTAGATTGACAAAAATTGACATAAAGGCCATCAAGATCCGTTCACAATTCTGGTAGTCGCTGGAAAACTCAGTGCAAAGTTTTTCCGCTGTCAATGCCAATATCACAGCGGCTTATGGGATTTTTGTTACATCAATCAAATCGTCGATGCAAAGTTACCTATTGATTATTTGCTAAGTGAACTATTTCGATATTTCGGTCCAAAACCAAGCTCATGTTCCCTATTATAGGCGACTGAATAATTTTTTTATGTTATGACCTAACACAATCCATCATTTCATTTGTTCTAGATGTTATGTTTATAATTTTGTTGTATATAACTCACGCTCCATATTATTCACAAAAGATATAGTAAAAGTGTATCAATTCAACATGAATGTTGCAAACTCTACCATCCACATACAATGTCAAAGCAATGAATGTCACTGATGAAGCACCATCTATCACTTTTATTGCCAAGCCAATACCACGAAAGTACCACATTCAGTTACGACAAAATGAGTACACCGATCCGAACCTAAAGTATAATGCTGTGAGATTTGTGGTTTTCGCATTAACAAGAGTTGATTACTGACTGATGGGTCCATGTCCACAAAGCCATTTAAAAAGAGTCGATTAGAGGTTTTTCAAAAATTTATTCTGCCTTGGGATCGACGATATGAAAAAGAAGGCTTTCCGATGGTACCATGTGACAGCGGTTATAATTTCTTAACATCTTTCATAGTATTTCAGACCTCAACATTTGTATACAACTTCGTGTAACTGTTGGATTACGATGATTCATTGTCCCATTTCTCATTTGAGATATAGAGTGATTATATCCTCCTAGTGTATTGTTGGCGAGTTTTGAGGCCTCTGCAACGATCGGCATGTGCCTTGTCCATTTGGGTGTAATGAATGAGTTTCAAAGATATTCCTTGGTTCTTCATGCACTTGACTATTCTAGCAGCCTGAGAGAATTTTTTATATATCTCTTGGTTCACATATTTGGATTTCTCAGTAACTCCTAGATCAAATTGAGTGGCGCCCTAAAAACTTAAATTTAGGTGCATTTATTCCTAACTCGAATTCAATTTATTTTCTTTGTATATTGGAAGGTTGAGAAAAAGTAGGCTACAGTGTCCCAATTTATTATAAGCAGGCTATACTCCAAATCACCGATAGTCGTATGTGACGATCGTTTGTCTGCAAAATTATTTATGGTAAATGACAGCATCTCAAAGTCTGAGCACCTCCGATGAAGTCTAACAAAAATAACGCCTGCAGTTACTGAGCTGCTAGTCCATATCGTACGGTTACATTCAGGAATACATTACATCAGAGATCAACTGGTGACCTGCTATCTTACGTCTCACATATAGGGCAGCAATCTATTGAAAAATATGGTGAAACCTTAGCCGTGGCACTTGATATCTTGAAGGCATTCGACTGAGTCCGGCACCACGAACTCCTCGCTAAGCTTCCATCTTATGACTTGCCTCCCCAGCTATGTTTTCTGCTAGCTAGTTTTCTCTCAAACAGGTCCCTCCATGTAGTGGTCGACGGAGTTTCATCTGACTCTCTTATCAAAAATAGTGGTGTTCCGCAAGGATCAATTCTAGCTTGGTATTACTATCAGCAATAACCTTTCTTGGGAAAATCACGTGAGATCAATTGCTGAAAGCGCATCTCAGAAACTTCGTTTTCTGTTTCGGACCAGGAGCGATTTCACTTCCAGTCAGCTGATCATGATCTATAAGGCACAGATCTGACCTGTCCTGGAATACTGTCCCCATATTTGCAGTGCAGCACCCAAACATACCCTGGAACTGTCGAATTCTGTCCAAAATATGGCAATTCGTCTCGTGGGTGGTATTTTATAGATATTTTCATGGACGATTATCTTCTGGAATGTCAACAATTGTTCCTCCCTTGGCAGTCGGCGCGAGATCAACTCGTCGAGTTGGGGCTTCGCACCCCTTCGTGGTCACTTTGGAGACGTGCAGAACATCTCTTTCCAAAACGTGTTCATCCGACGAACAGCGAGGCTCTGAAACACATTGTCTTGGGACGTGTTCCCCGAGGCATATAACCTCCAGAAATTTAAGAAGAACACTAATTCCTACCTTATTTTCCTTGGTTCTCACAATGTTCTCTGAACAATTGTGAACATTACAGGATATCCCTCTTCGTGGGAACGAGAACATAAAAAAAATCATCTAAAATATAGTTTCGGTGGTATCATATGATATGAAGTAATATTATATGAATTATTCTTATTGAAGATACAATTTAGCCGTTTTTCAGTGTTATTGTGATATTTTGAGTAGGAATATTGTTGAATCTAATGTATAAAAGATGAAAAAACTCGTGATTTTCTTTTTCAGAAGAAAGAACGTTGAACTGTTGATCAAGAAGTCACTATCAAATGGAATTTCATTAGAAATAACCATTTTACACTGATGGACTTTGGGTCCCCATTGGCCGAGTCAACAGTTTTCCGTTTAGCGCCACTCGCTTAATTTTCTTCTGACAATACCTATTCCTTTGCGACAAAATGATTCAATAACCTACTTTCTGGATTGTCCCTCACCCTAAATGTCAATAGAGTTATTTGCAATTGCCGAGTAATTAGCGTATAACGGGCGAAACCGTGCCTTCAGAATGTCAGTTCTAATCAAGTCTGGGGCAAATTGTATTTTCTCATTACAAAAGTTCGACGGGAGGCGAAGGGTGGCACATCAGAAAACGGGGGCAATATTCCAATTGGAAAGGCCCTTTGTAACACTCTCATTTCCGGCGACACCATCGACTGACTTGAAGGAATATTCCAGTCTTTTG